CTCCTGAGGTTGGGGGCTGTAGCCCCTGTGGGGGGCATCAAAACATATAGGTATTTAGAATTCACTTGATGGTGATGATAGAGACACTGGTAGGCTTCCAAATTGCTTTTGTAGCAAAGCCACCAGTTTTTTCTTTTTTTCTTTTTTGATTATTTTAAAATGCATTCCCTCCCCTTCCCCAAACATTTCTGACCTTTTCTCTCTCTCTCTTTCCCCTATAGATAAGTATAAGTAAGCTAAGATGTAGGATAAGCTTTAAACATTTTTATTTTGGTAGCAAGTTTTTGGTTTTAGATATCCACTGTTTTATATTGTATTATTATTAGGTTTGTATTGATTTTTTACTGTTGTATATTGTATTATTATAATTTTTTATTGATTTTTATTATTTCATATGGATATTGTATGGTTTAGGCCAGGGTTTGTAAGTGAACCAAAGTCATGTCAAGTTTCCATTTTATATGTCAAGTCTCCATCTTGTGTCCTCTGCCCAGGCATCCCCTGTGTCGCAACTGTATGAATCACGTATCCCTCCCATGTAAATTGGTTCCTGGATGAATGAGTGTGATTGGGAATGATTGAAATGCAATGGTAGCAGGCCTCTACTGAATGGCCTGTAACGACTGGGCCATCACCTCGCATTGATTCACCCAGGAACCACAGACCTCACCCAGGAACAGAGACAAGATCACTAGGGTCACACAAGGTCTGCCCCTATAAAAAGGGGCAGTGAAGACAGACCCAGTGGGAGCACAGTTTCCATCAGGACCAGCACCACGCCACACCACCTATCCACCCAGAGGCCCTGCCGGCAACCCACCTCTGGACAACATCTAATGGACAAGCACCTCTTTCAGCCTGGATAGGTAGATATTACCTGCATACCTCCTCCTAGAATTTAGACTCTCTCTCTCTCTCTCTCTCTCTGTCTCTCTTTCTCCTCCTGGACTTCAGTGGACTTCAGCCCCTGCACCAAGACTCTCTAACCTCTGCTGCCATTGAGTGGGTGGGTGCAAGGGAACCAATTTGACATTGTGTCACCATCTCCCCTGTTCAATAAAACCACTGTCATTTGCAACCCCGAGTTGGGTCATGTTTTACTGAATCCCAGTCCCTTCCTGATCTTAAATTCCAGCCTCATTCTCTCTCTTCCTCTCTCAGCTCCAGTCCCCACCCTCTCTGCTAGTTTCCCGATCTCCTCCCAATTCCATCTCCCCTTTTCTGCCACCTTTCAGCCTCTCCTGCTCCTACTGCCTTTTCCCTGTGATTTTCTGCTGCCTTTCTCTGCTTTCTTGCTGCCCTGTGCCTTTCTCTGCTTTCTTGCTGCTTTTCCTGTGATTTTCTGCTCTCCGTCTCTCTGTTTTCAGGCTTCCCCCACACCTTCTGTAATCCTCCCCCACCCCTGCAGCTTCCCAGCTCCTATTAGCTGTCCTGCAGTTTGCTCCAGCAGCTGGAGCCTTGCTGCAGCTTCCAGCACCTACTGCCACTCCCTGCAATTTCTCTAACTGCCCTGGAGCCATCCTCTGGCTCCCAACACCCAGAGCCCCTCTTTAATACCCACACTTTCCCTTAGTCCCATTTTTCCCTCTCCCTACCTACCTTTTCAGCTCCCCCCATAGCTCTGGCTCCAGTCCCAGACTCTGTGCCAGCATGCTTCCCTGTTCTGCAGGCTTTGGGCATTGTCTTTTAATCAATTAAGATCAATTAACTTAAAGTTACCCCAAGCCTCAGTTCTTCAGCCCAGGCCACTGTAGTCTACCAGTTCTAATCCTGGTCCTGGTAACTTTAACTCCCTATACTTTTACTTTCTTACCTTAACCTGTCCCCAGGTATCCCAAGTACACCAAGTACATACATACATACATACACATCACAACACCCAACTTAGGAACTCACCTGTGTGTATGTGTAGGTGGGTGGTATGTGTGTAAATTAGTGAATACACACATATATATACATATATAGATATCATTGTGTGTGTAGTATATGAATTAGTAATCCATGTATGTGTATTAGATGTGCAGGTGTTGGTAACTGGTAACTAATTCTGTCTAAATTTGGTGTGCGTAGCATGTATGGGCTTAAACTGGTGATAGTTGTGCATGAACCTAGACTGGTTATTTTGAACGTGTGTGTATCTGAGTTGCTAGTGTGTGTGTGTGTGTGTGTGGCATTGTGTGCATGATGTATGAATTAGTGAGCTGTGTCTAACTTTTGGGGTGTATAGTGTATGTGCTTGAATTGGTGATAAGTATGCATGTGCCTAGGCTGGTTTGGATGTGTATGTGCCTGAGCTGGTAGTGTGCATGTGTATGCACCTAATTGATTTGTGTGTGTTTTGTATATGTCCAATTGTGTCACACCCTCCTGTCTAACAGTACAATATTGAGATCCTGAGCGTTGGCCTGACCCTTCAGGGCAACACTTTAACACTGTAGATATATCAATAAAACATTGCCTAACTGATCACTGTCTGTCTGTCTGTCTGTCTGTCTCTCTCTCTCTATATATATATATATAATGGTCTTTTCTTTTAATTGTGGTATTTTGGGGTATCTTACAGATATTTTTATCAGGGATTTTTCAGTTTTCCAATAAAGAACACCAGAATTCCTGCAAGGGAGGCCAGTGGCAGGACCCTGCCTGGTCAGAGCTGGCACCTTGGACCCAGCTGGAGGTGGCTGACTTCCTGGCCAATTAGGGCCAGGAGGACATGCTTTGATGGTTCAAAGCAGGCCATCACATGCAGAACATCTTCCAGGTGATAGCTGCCTGGATGGCTGGGCAGGGGCACACATGGCAGTAGTGCTGCACAAAGGCCAACCCTGCAGCCACAGCCCACTGGCAGCTAGTCCTGAGGGGCAGATGTCTCTACTGGGTGTGCAGTCCCCATCCAGGTCTGGCAGGTGCTCAGCAGGTCCAGCCAGGCAGGACCCCCACTCCACTGCCAGACTGCTGCGGTGGGTAAAGGGTGAAGGGAACTCTCAGGGCTGCTTCAGCAGTCCAGCTGGCACAAGGGGTAGTGTCCCCAGGTACCAATTGGCTGGGCTTCAGAAACTCCTGAGAGCAAGAAACCCTGAGCTACTTATCAGGGCAGGCTTTTGTACTGATGGGGCCAGGACAGGACAGCTTTTTATACTGCTGGGGACAGCACAGGTGCTGGCCCTGGGCTCTAGCTCCCCCTGGCTGCAGAACTGGGAGGAGCAAGGCAGGGTTATTTTGCCCCAAGTGGCACAATTTGCCCCATACCAAAGTGCATGTCTGGGCACATGTACTGAGGCAAAAAGCCCAGGCTCAAATTTTCACTGCTTCTATTTGAGCTGCTGCAAGTGCACGTGCCTGCATGTGTGGACGCGCCTAGTGAGTGCATCTACATGTGATGTTATGTTGCCATAATGACACATTATGCAACATTGCTCATTGTTATGGCAACATAGCATGAGCGGGCACAAACTGTGATGCCAATGCTACCTCACCATAATGATGAGCTACCTTGTTATATCACATCTAAAAATAACTGTGCGCCACCCGTTTGACACAGTAATGGCTGCTACTGCACCATCATTTAGTACTTCCTTTTCGTGCAGTAACAACGGCACCATGGGGGGCATGTGAAGATGTGCCCAATAAAAACAAAGAAGAAAGATTCTCTGCCACAGAGTTCTTACAATCTAACAGACGCACACATTTATAGAAGCATACACTGAAGACATTCGAATCCTTTTACAGAGAAAGGACTGTGCAACTTTTAATTCAAATGTTGTTTCCAAACCAGTTCAGTGAGAAAGCCATTAGGCCTTCACACCATTTGAGATCAGCAGAAAGTTCATTGTGGAGACAAAAAAGAGTGTTATGACAGGAATCCAGGCAAAGTGATACAAATGTGAGACCATGGAGATGATTTTACAATCTGAGGAACAAACTGAGGTCAATACCAGTAAAGGAAAAAAAGTGATAATATGATAGCTTGACATTGTCACTATGAGTTTTTTTTCACACAACAATTCTTTTATGCATATGAACCTCCAAATGTATTAAATATGTATTACTTTTTTAGGAAGTCCATTAAAATAACATTATGTTTTATTGGTTTATAAAAAAAAAAACCCAAGGAGAATAGAATTCAAGTTCAAATATACAAAACAAACAAAAGTAATTTTATAAGATTCAACCCATGCTCATTTTATTGTCATGGCCACGCAACAGTGAAAGATGCTTTATAAATATTTCAGTCACAAAAGGACCAGGCCTAAAGTATTATTGAAAAACATTTATTACCTGAGGAATGATGAAGATTGTTCCCATTGGTAATGTCACCATTGACTTCTATGGGACTAGGTTTTACTTTTTGTTTCTCCTGTGGGCTGTAGCAAAGATGGTGTCAATGTGCTTCAATTTCTTTTCTGAAAAGTAAAGGTAATGTTATTTACCATGTAGTTTTTAGAAGCATCATTTACTAAGAACAATCTTTATGAGCAACACCTGAGCTAAAGCCCATTCAAATTGCTAAAGGACTGAAGAGGGGTAGTTAACTATGTTAATTTGAAGTCAGGCAGAAAACTAGGCAGGGTTATCTCTTAGGGCATGTACAGATATTAGACTTAGGCTGGTCTAAGTTAATGTAGATTGATCTAAACCTATAACCATAGAGAAGTTTGGCGCGCACAGGCCAGTCTAAAAATTGCATGGGGAACCTAGAATAGACCTCATCCAAGGTACACTCAGTTGACATCAATTCAGGTTTCATAGTTTCATAGTTTCATAGTAGTTAGGGGTCAGAAGGGACCCAAATAGATCATGTAGTCTGACCCCCCGCCACTGGCCAGAGCACACGCTGAGATCACACAATCCCAGACAGGTGTTCATCCAACCTCTTTTTGAATTTACCCAAGGTAGGAGCGAGGACCACTTCCCTAGGTTAAAGTGAATGTATGTATTATTCCCCTATTGATTCAAGTTAGATCTCTGTCCTCTGGCATCCCAGCCTGGTTTGTGGCTCTTGCTTCTCCTCCCTCTCAGGAAGGTGTGCTAGAACTTGGCCTGAATTTGGATGCTCTGGATGAGCCCCAAGCAAGCACAGGCCCTCTTCCAGCCCCCAGCTACCTGTCAGCTGCAGGTATGCATTTGGGGGAAATCAGGTATCTATGTCCTCTGCATGAACCCTGGGACATGGGCACCAGGCCATGCCCTGGCACCCCAACACCATGTCCCAAAGCACCCCATAATGTACATGCAGACTCCCAACACTAAGCACCTATACATGTGCCTGATGCCTGATTAATCGAGTCTGCTAGAGTGTACTAATTAGCACACTCCAGCAGCCTCAGCATCATGTATATTCAGCATCTCCATGCTTCAAAATGACATTGGGGGTGCTCATTGAATGAGCGTTCATTAAAGCATCCCTGCTGCCATTTTGAAGTTTGGGATGCTGACTACACGAGATGCTGAATACTGAGATGCTTTAATTAGAGCCAGGTTCATTCCTATGGGGGGCAAATCGGGGTGACCACCCCAGCCCCTGCACTTTGGGGGGCCCCATGGAGTGGGGCAGAGCAAAATGACATTGGGGGTGCTCATTGAATGAGCGTTCATTAAAGCATCCCTGCTGCCATTTTGAAGTTTGGGATGCTGACTACACGAGATGCTGAATACTGAGATGCTTTAATTAGAGCCAGGTTCATTCCTATGGGGGGCAAATCGGGGTGACCACCCCAGCCCCTGCACTTTGGGGGGCCCCATGGAGTGGGGCAGAGCAGTGGCAGTGCAGAGCCAGGGAGAGTGGTGGGTCTGCCTCCCGCCACCTGCCACCCCCCCTCCCCCCAGCCACTTGCTCCCCCAGCTCCCCACCATCAATGCCACCACTGGCATTGGCAGCAGCAGCTTCTTTAGCTCCAGGGTCCGGATTGGAATGGGGGCAGGGCCCTGCATGGGCTGATTCGCCTCGGGCCCCACACCTTGCTGTGGTCAGCTCTGATGAGAGTGGCTCCTGATGACCACTCTAATTAAAATGCCTGGACACCCTGGAGCATATGTAAAGAATCCGAGTCCAGAACAATCCTCACATTTAGGCAGCCCTAAAGACCCCAGCTCTGGCACCTGCACACCCAGGGACTCCCATGGCCTCAGTGTTGAAGGTAGAGGTCATTGGAAATTCCCAGGCTGGGGCATGGGGTGTTGCCAGTATCATGGGGGTGTCTGCTGGAAGCCCATTGAGGTCATGGTGATGGCCTGGCTAGTGAAGCTCTGGTCACTCTGGAGCAGAGGCTGTACGCATGCCAGGACCTCCATTTATGGACACCCACTGCTCCACCAATCCCTTTGTCCCTATGTCTGTCCATCCATCTGTCCATCTCCTTGCTGATAGACCTTCACCCACCTATAGATGCTGAGACCTTACGGGCACCACCATGGACCACGGAAAACCCCATCCCATCCTCCTTCAGTACCTAACCCTGGTTACACAACTGATGCCTTGGGGGGATGAGGGATCTCTGCACCATCTTGGCCTAGTAGGAGAACCAGGACCAGCCCCACAAAGGGCACTGCAACAGGGACATATTCAAACATATTGCCCAATGGATGTAAGCATGGTGTCATGACAGGGAATGAGTGCCAGGCCAAGATGAAATGGATGAAGCCTCAATAAAACCACATGCAAGATGCCAATAAATAGTCTGCAAGCAGGGACATCATTAGCCTGCATATGTACAGCGCCAATGGGGGACAGGATGAGTCACTGGAAGGAGATGCATTGTTGCCCTGTGGGGTCAGGCCAACTCTCAGGATCTCAATATTGCACTGATAGACAGGAGGGTGTGGTGTACAATTGCAAATGCACACACTCAAAAATCAATTAGGTACATACACACACTAGGCGCATACACACACTCTAGCTGTGTACACCCCCACCAGGCATGCACACGCACACTACCAATTCAGGCACATACACATACAAAATTACCAGCCTAGGCACATGCACACCTATCACCAATTCAAGCACCTACACACACTATACAAACCGAAAGAAATTAGACCAGAATCAATTACCAATACCTGCACACCCAATAACATACACAGATCACTAAGTTGTATATCATGCACACAGTGGCATACATGTATATCAGTTCACATACATACCAATCACCTACACATACACACAGGTGAGTTCCTAACTTGGGTGTTGTGGCGTGTATGTACATGCTTGGTGTACTTGGGATACCTGGGGGAAGGTTAAGGTAAGAGAGAGAGTGAAAGTGTAGGGGGTAGAAAGTTGCCGGGACCAGGATTAGAGAGACCTGGGATGAGGAGCTGAGGCTTGGGGTTACTTTAGGTTAATGCTGGTGGAGACTGAGATGAAATTTGTCGGTGCCAGGATTAGAACCAGCAGACTGGAGGCGAGTTGGGGTAACTTAAGGTTAATTGGTGTTAATTTAAAGCAGAAAGCTGACAGAGCAAAGGAGCAATGCCGGGGAGAAGCCCAGAGGCTGGAGCCATATCAAGGAGGCTACAGGGGAGCCAAGAGGTACATGGGGAGAGGAAAACTGGGAGTGGGGCTGCCGGGGGAGGCTGGAGAACAGAGAGAGAGCGAGAGAGAGAGAGAGAAGGCAGAAAGAGATAGGAATTGGGGAGAGGTGGCAAGAGGCAAAAAGCAGTGGGAGTGGGGCTGAAAGCCTGCAGAAAGCAATAGGGCTGAGAGCCTGCAGAGGAGCAGAGAGGAGGCAAAAAGCAGCAGGAGCAAGGCTGAGAGCCTGCAGAAAGCAACAGGGCTGAGAGCCTGGAGAAAGGGAACAGATAAGGGACAGACAGGATCTTAGAGATGGCAGGAAAGGGGAGACAGAACTGAGAGATCAGGAAAATGGGGGGCTGGAGCTGAGAGGGAGAGACAGAGACTGGAATTTAAGATAGGGAAGGGACCAGAGCTCAGTAAAACAGACCAGGAAGTGCACAGCCCCACTAGGGGTAAAGCCTTGCTGGACCTGGTCCTGGCCCCGGGGATGACCTGGTGAGGGGACTGCAGGTCCTTGACCACCTGGGCAATAGCGATCATCACTTGCTGGATTTCACTATCCAACGCAGGGCATCTAGGGCTCACACCAAGGCTAAAGCCCTTGACTTCAGAAGGCCAACTTCAATGAGCTTAGGAGACTAGTCGGGGAGGCACTAAGGACCCAGAAGATAGAGGAGATGGGAGCCCACGAGGGATGGTCGTACCTTAAGGGGGCAATCCTCCAGGCCCAAAGGATAACAGTCCCTGGAGAGAAGCAAGGGGGGTAAGAGTGCTCAGAGACCCCCTTGGCTCAGCAAGGGCATTCAGCAATGCCTGAGGACTAAAAGGGGGGCGTACAACCAGTGGAAGGGAGGAACTATCACCAAGGAGGAGTACTCCTCCTCGGCCCGGGA